AGTCCGCTTGGTATTGATGAAAGACAATGGCGCCAACGCCGGCTGAGGGGAGCAGGCTGGGGATGGCGGGGGCTGTGCTGACCGGGCTCAGGGACCCCGCTCTGAAGCCCCCACCCCCGCATGGCTCTCCCCGCTTCAGCCCTCCCCCACCCAGACTGTGTGTGCAGCTCTGCCTGCAGCTTCTCTGGGCCGCGTGGAAAGAAGGGTGAGGCACAGGAGTGGGGGGTGCGTGGCCTGCAGCCCCTCGCGCAGCCCCCTGGCCTCCCCTCCCCCCAGCCTGCAAATGACCAGCCACCAGGTGGCCTCATTTGCCCGGAGCCCCTGCCACCAGCCTCTTCCAAAGACCCTCCTGGGGGCACGCGCCCAGGGCCTGTGCGACTCAGCAGGGCTCAAGGACCCTGCGAACCCGCCAGGAAGCAGACGCACTGATTTCCACCCTAAGGGGATGGGGCTTATCCTGAGGCTCTACGAGGCCCGAGTGGGAACCCCCTCCCAGTCCCTCTGCTCCATGTGCCAAAGCCAGGCGGTACTGCCAGCGCCTGTGGGCACAGACCACCAGCCAGGCCAGCGGGAGCCAAGACGGGGGCGGGGGGGTGGCGCATGCCATGAGGGCGCATCACACCATCTGCCCTCCCCCACTTCACCACATGCCGCTGGCCTGCCCTCCCCCTTCCTGCCTCACACACCTTCGTGCCCACATTGTACCCTCCCCTGGGTCCTCAGCACCCTGAGACTGAACGAGCAGGATGGGGGGCTGCACACCTGCGCTAGGTTATTGGGGTGCATGGGTCCCCCTCCTGTCTTGGTGAGGCTTCTTACTGGAGTGAGTTTTCCATCGCAACTGACCTGGGGACAGCTCACAAATTCCTCTAAAATTTGACCCTCTGTGCCCAGTGGCCTCCATTGTCTGGCCTGCCCCCCACGTAGGCCTGTGAGCATGCCCGCATCACTACGGCTAGGCTGTTCCCCGGAACCTCAAGGTGAGCACTCCTGGGCTGATCTGGGGGGTTCTGGCGGGGTGGCCCAACTCCGCCGAGAACAGCGCCCCGTGGCAGAGGCCGTGGGGAGGAGTCCCGGCTGCCTGCGGGGCCAGCACCATGGCCACCTCGGGGGAGCTGCGCAGGGTCCGCCGTGGTGGGCAAGGGGTTGGCAGCCCGAGGCCGTCTCTGGGACAGACGTGGGTCCCAAAGACAGCAAGGCTGAGGAGCCCACACTGGGGACCCTCTGCCCTGGGGAGGGGCAGGTTTGTCCAGGGTGGGGGCCAGGACACATCACCCCGCCCACCTGGCCCCTGAGCGCAGATCGGTGTGACCTCTGGGCCAGAAGCAGGAGGGCCAGCCCACTGTCCCCGCCTCCCCTCCCAGGGCTTCCCTAGAGCCACACCGCCCCCTGCTGGTGCCAGCGGGCATGGCAGGAGCCGCAAGGACCCCCCCCCCCCCCCCCCCCCCCCCCCCCCCCCCGACGCCGGGTCCCTGGGGCTGATGATCACCTAAAGGACACAGGAAGCCACGTCCAGTGAGCCTGGGGCCACTGGCTAGCTGGAATCGCCATCAGTGTATCAGCGGTGTGGGCCGGCGGCCACAGGCAGGACAGGACCCCAGCCCCAGTGGCTGGGGGTTTGGAGGTCAGGGACAGCCCCGGAGGGAAGCCAAGACCAGAGTCCAGCTCCCTGTGACCAGCACCCAGGTTAGCCTGTGAGCACCTGGCTGCCAAGCCATGGGGCCACAGACCTCACGGGCCCGGGGGGGGGGGTGCGGGGGGGTGTTCACCAGCCCCCCACAGCCTCTCTGCTGTTGCTGCCTGTGACTCCACGACTTTAAAGCACAGTTTGAGAACGGCTGCTCACTGTGTGTTTCAGGGACTGTCATGGGGCTTCTGAACAAAGACGAGGACCCCCTAGAGCCGACGCCCCCGCCTGCACTGTGTCCTGTGGCCGCCAGAGGGCAGGCGCGGCCTGGACCAGGCCCAGACACCCTGCCCTTCCTAGGCCAGCCTGGCCTCACCCACCCGCGCGCCGTCCCTTGGGACCCTGGGAACCGTTGAAGGGACAGGAAGCCGTCTGCAGGCCCCACTGCCCCGTCCAGGCCACTGGGGTTAGTGAGGGCCTCAGGATTCCCCCCGCACTCTGCACCCATCATCCGGCTGCCCTGAGGAACCCCTACAGTGCTCCCCCCCCCCCCCGTTAGAATCTGTGTGTGCTTTTGGACGCCCCTGGGAGGCCAGCCCCAGCAGGACGCTCCTCAGCACTGAAGCCCACGGGCCTGGACGTGGCAGCCGTGGAAGAAAGGAAGGGCGGCGGGCGTGCCCCCACCCAGGACTCTCCTCACCTCCAGCCCAGGCCCCCAGAGGTCAGCCGGGCCCCTGGCCAGGCCCCACCTGTGTGGGTCTGCCTTGGACTCCCCCCTGATCTTGCCTCTAAAGCGAGGGGCCCGGTGACACGGGCCCCGTGTGGGGTGAGAATGTGCCTGGGCCCCATTCAGGCTTTACTGTCCTCATAGGGGGCTGGCCCCCGGGCGTCTCCACGTGGGTGACCACAGGCACCCCAGGGAACGTCCAGGAGGAAACTGCCCCGCCCAGGCTGACACACCTGGTGTCAGGTCACTTCTCTCCGGACCCCCGGTGTTGCTGCCCCCGGCCCGAGCCCCCATCCTCCACCCAGCAGCCCGAGCCGGGTGCCCCTCGTTGCCCCGCGGGCGAAGTGAGGGGTGCACACAGGCGCCCCCTGGCGGGCTGCCGTGGACGTGCGGCGGTCCCGCGTGCGGAGCAAGCGCGGTGCGTCCCAGCCGCTGGGGCAGGTTGGCGCCTGTGCCCCTGGCCTGTGGCCGCCGGAACAAGTTCCCGCAGACTGAGTGGCGGAGCATCCTCGGGTCTGCTCCTGGTCACAGAACAGAAGGCCAAAGGAACCCCCTGAGGCGTCCTTGCCGGGGCGCGGCAGGGGGGCGGCCTTGACCTTTGCCAGGGCTCTGGTGGACGCCAGGGTTTTCCGAGCTCCCCGCCCCCGCCCCCCTCGGGATCTCCCAGAACCTAGCCTTGCAGGCTGGGTCGGGGTCTTGGAGGGGTGCGGCCTGTGGCTCCTCAAGGGGCAGCGTGCGGTGACGGGCGCCATGGGCCCCACGCGCTCGTGTGCCCTGCGGACGGGCCACCCCGCGGACGCGCCGCCCTTCTCCCTGCAGGACTGGGGGTGGAGTGTGGGCTCCGGTGCCGCCTGGGGGCGGGGTGCAGGGTAGAGTCTGGGGAGGGGGTGACTCCTAGGGAGGCTGCAGAGTTGCAGAAAGGGTGGTGACCCCGAGTGTGGTCCGAGCTGCAGGCTCGGAGAGTCCAGGTGGTCGGGTGCCCCCAGTCCGTGGGAAAACGAGAGGGCTCTTCTGGAGGGGCCAGTCCTTCTTTAGGAGGGAGAGCAAACCGTCCCTGTGGCCTGGGGGGACCAGCCCTGGACAAGCCCTCCGTGCTCGGGAGCCCACCCCCCACCCTAGGACCCAACGGGAAACCGAGGGCGGCGGGGAGAACGCCCCTCCCAGGGCGCTGCCCTAAGTTCCCAATGGGGAGGATTGCCCACCAACCTGGGGACCACACCCCATCACAGCGGCCCTTCCCTGCCCTTGGGGCTGATCCATGACCCGACCCAGCTCACCCTCCCCTTGGAGAACCTCTTCTCCCTGAGATTGTTGGGTGGGAGACAAATGGCCAAGAGCAAGGTGCAGAAGGATGGGCCAACAGGGAGAGAGGGGGGATCTTCCAAGGCCACGTCCCCCCACCCCCGTAAGAGTGCCTGAGGTGAGCCAGGCTCAGCCACCATCCCTTTCTTCCTCACCCCTGCACTAGTACCAGAAGTCCACAGCATTCAGAGGGCTGTCCCACCCCGTTCACGGTCCCCAACCTCAGAGGCAGGATGGTGGCCCTTAGGGGCCACTCCCCAGGCTCAGGGCCTCAGAGCCTGGAGACGGAAGGGGCTCCCCGCCAACTCCCCACCTTGGAGCAGTGAGCGCCAGGGACACGATCGTTGCCAGAGCCTCCTTCAAGCAGCCTGGCCTCCTTCCAAACAGGCCAGGGCGCAGATGGTGCTGCACCTGCTCGCCGGCCCCACGGCCTGCACAGGAGAGCAGAGGCCCGGCCCGGCGCGGCCGCAGAGACGACCCGGCTCCCTGGACAGCCCCCACCCGTCGTGCTCAGAAGGCAGCGCATTCCCGGTAAGGGTCCCTGCGCGTCCTGCGCTCTCCACCCTCCCTTCCGTGAGGGGCTCGTGAGGGACACACGCACCCGGAGCGCAGGGCTTGAGGAAAGGAGCGGTTAGATGCAACCAAGACCCGACACGGAACAGGAGGCCCCTGGGGACCAGAGGAGGAAGGAAGGGCTCCGGCTGGGGGGGAGGGCTAACCCCAGGCTAGGGGTCTGACGGGCCGTCCTCCGCGCCAGCCCCAGGGGAGTCCCACCCCAGTGCCAGAGACTGCGACCTACGATGGGCAGGCGGGTGCCAGTGCCCGATAGGGTGGTCAGGAGTTCCCATCAGACAAAGCCCTCGAGACAGCAAGCAACGTTTCTTGGGGAAGCCAGGGGAAGAGCACTACCGGCAGAGGAAACAGCCCGTGCAAAGGCCCTGAGACAAGAGTGTGCCTGGTGAGTTCAGGGAGCAGCAACATGAAAATTAATGGCTGAACAAATCAATCCACTCTGGCGCCTAGCCCAGCCCCCACCCACCGCCGCCTCTTCTGACGGCCTTGCTCGTCTTCCCGCGTGACGCCCAGGGCTCCTGCGTCCCTGGACAGCCGCCTCCAGGCTGGTTGTGGCCCGCCCCGCCCCCGCCGCGCACACGTGCTGTCGCTCAGCCCCAGGCCCCGCCCCTGGCCCCCGGCTCCGCCCCCGCACACGTGCTGTCACTCAGCTCGCGCCCCGCCCCTGGCCCCCTGCCCCGCCCCCGCCGCGCACACGTGCTGTCGCTCACTCGGGGCCCCCGCCCGCGCACTTGTGCTGTCACTCAGCCCGGGTTGTGTCCGAGCGGGAGGCTGCCGGCCGGACACTCGCCTCACTCCGCCAGTCCATGGACGCCGCGCTGCTCGTCGCCCTCGGGCTGCTGGCCCAGGTAAGGCGTCTGGCCGCGCGGGGTCCCTTGCCCCCTGCCCTCCGTCTTACGGTGCGGCGCTCCCGGGACCACTGGCCCTGGCCGCCTTTGGGAGGACCCATGAGCCGAGGGTGCCCGGTGGGCAGCTCTGTCCGGGGTGTTCTGTGCCCCGAGGGGTCCAGAGGCGAAGGGTGACCTCAACCGCCTGAACTGGACGGGCAGCCAAGCCGGGTGGCCGCCGGGAGACCACCTAGCAGGCCGGCCCTTCCCCTGGAAGTGCGCCCCTCAACCCTGCGGACTTGTGGGGAGAGCTGGGGGGTGCTGGGGGCAGGAGCACCCCAGCTGGAGGAGCCGGGAAGCCGGGCTCCCTGAGGACAGTCCTGCTGGTCTGGCAATGACCCTGGTTAGTTCTGAACAGATTCTGAGTCACCCCCCCCCCCCACCGCATGTCCTGGGGCAGGAGCAGCTGCACCTCTGCCCTCCAGGAGTCCACGCTCCCCTGGGGGTGCCCCCCCTCCACAGGCCGCCGCCCCCACACGCCTCACCTGGCCCAGGTCCCTGGTCTTTCGGAGCCAGGAGCAGGGCGGGGTAGAGGGAGGCGCAGACCATGGGCACCCCCTGGGAAGGGGCCACATGTCCTTGCATCCTGGGCCGAGATGGCCCTTTGGACTGGGCAGGCGTTTGCCTGAGCCTGGGAGTGCAGCCCCCCGCAGGCTGAGTCAGGGTCGCAGGCTGGGGGCAGGGCTGGGCAGTGGCGGGGACACTGCGTAATAGAGGATCTCCGTTCCCTTGCACTTGACAGGTAGTGAGCTCGAGGGCTTAGTGAGTGCCCACAGGTGATGGTGCCAGACACGGGGAGGGGGGACAGTCAAGTTTCCCAGCACCCACTCGGGGCCTCTTGAGTCCTCCTGACTCACAAAGACCTCCCAGCTGTGGCTGGAAGCTGATCAGGTGCCCCCAGCTGGACCCCCCCCAGCTCGGTCTCCTGCACCCCTGCCTTTGGGCCCGCCCACCCCCCACAGGGGCCCCCCTGGGCCCCTGGCTGCCCACAAGCCGCGCTCCCCCAGCCCTCTGCTGGGGGCCACGCAGAGTCAGCGGCTTCCAGCTGCCCCCCGCAGCACCTATGCCCCCCGCCCCCGCACTGGCCTCCACTCCAGAAGGCTCCGCGGCTCTGGGGCCCTCTCCCCACTCGCTGTAGGAGCAGCAGTCCACCCCCACCCTGCCCCACACCCAGTACGCGGGACAGGCGCCTTGACGGAGACCTGCGTTTCGGGGTTTGGGGTAGCTCTGCCTCAGATTCCTCTCCTCCCCAGGGCTCTTGTGGAAGGACCCCCACAACTGGAGGCTTTGGAGATTTGGGGGGAATCAGCCAACGGAGCTTGGACACAAGTTCTGCCCTCGGTGTGGCTCAGATTAGTGCTTGAGGAGAGTTTTCCCAACCCCCCCCCCAAATACATCCGTGGCGGGACCCTCCCTCCCCCTCCCCCATCCAGCCCAGCTTCCAAATCTGTGTCTCCCCCCATCCAACCACAGGGCAGCTGATGGCTCCTCCAGACTTCCCTTCCTCCACCTCAGGAGCGAGGCCGGGCTGTCGGAGGAGGGGCCTGGGGACAGGGCTCTGCTGATCCGGTGCTGACTGCGTGTTTTGGGACAAGGCACACCCCTCCCCTGCGTGTGCCCCTAAAATCTCAGTGAGGGGGCTTAGAGTGTGTGCTGGCAGAACTGGCCTCTCGGCTCCCTCTCTGGGCCCTCAGTGCCCCCAGAGCTGGGCCTGCCCTTGGGGGGCAGGGGGAGGGAGGGAGGAACAGGAGAGCTTGGATGATTCAGGGCGACGGGATGGGGATCTGGGGGAGCCACATGGTTTGTGGAAGGAAAGTGCTGCGGCTTAGCTGCACTCCTGGGGGCTCTGAAGTGTGAAGACCCCCACAGGGCAATGTGGGAAAGTACCGGAACAGGGACCCGGACCCGGCAGAGATAGGCCACACCCTGTGGTCATGATAATGTGACAGGAGCGGGGGCAGCAGCGGGCAGCTGGCTCCTGGACCCCTCGCTCTCCTGGAGGTGGACGGGGCAGCCCAGGAGCGCAGCGGGGGAGGGGGGAGACAGCCGCTCCGCTCACCCCCTTGTTTTGTGGCCTCACCCCTCCTTTGAAGCCTGCAGCAGCTGCAGGGGCGACATGCAGGGGCCTCTCTGGGCCGGGCGACAGCTGGGCCGTTCCCCGCGGGCCTGATGCCCGCCAGCCGTCCAGGAACGGGGAGCTGCGGATTCCAGCCTGGCCGGAAGGGGCTGGGCCTGGGGAACTTGCGGACTTGCGGGGGGTGCAGGGCGGCAGCTCTTGCCTCCGCGGGGGGGCGGGGGGGACCCCACCCACATTCCACCAGGCGCCAGGCCAGGCCTCCCACCCGGCTGCTAGACCCTGAGAAACCAAACCAGGAGCCAGAAGCACCGCTGAGGGCAAGTGTGGGATTAACGCCCCAACCTCTCACCCGAGCCCAGGCCTGCAGCTGCGTTTTCTGAGGTTCGCCCAGCGACACAGGACAATTAGAAAACATTCCCTTCCCCTAACGATGGACAGGGCTCCAGGAAGCCGGGCCACGGGAGCAAAGGTCCAGCCCAGGCCCAGCTGCTGCCTACCCGCTGACTCTCGGCAGTGATTTTAGGGAGCCCCGGGGCGCCTAAAGGCCAGCAGTGCCAAGAGATGAAGTGGGCTCTCCTCACCTCCCACCCAGGCTCCCCAGTCAACAGCTTCTCCACCCGGGGTGGGGGAGCACCCCGGCTTCTTCCCAGGCTCCTGGGGACTACGCCATGGCTTAGAATTCTTTGTTCCGAGCCAGCCGTGGGCTGCCGTGGGCCTCGTCCAGGCAGAATGGGTTCCTACATGGGAGGAAGGCGGGGGGAGCTTTGTTACTCAGAGGCCATTGGGGTTGGGTGTCGGGCTGGGGGCGGGCCCCAGTGAGGGGTAGTAGCCTTGGTGTCTCTGTGGCTTCCAGACTGTTCTCTCGGGTTCTTGGTTAAGGGAAAGGCAAAGGATGAATGTGAGGATATCGTTGGGCATCACTTAGGGGAAATGGGTCCATGACACCCATCGGTTGTGGCCCGGCGTGGGAGCAGCACGGCGGACGGTGGAGGCGGGCGCACAGCCCCTCAGTGGTGCCTTCTCACTTTGCCCACGTGCTGGGGGTCTGTGTGAGCTTCGTTGGTGTGGCTTTGTCCTGGCACCAGATGTCCCGTGATCCCCAGGCAGCTCCCAGACCCTCCCCCAGCCGGCCACGTCTCCTGGCAAGGGGTGGCTGGAGGAAAGAGGCTAGCTGAGCAATGCCCGGACGGCGGACGTGGGCTGTGGCCCGGCCCGGCCACCCCACCCACCGCAGCCTCTGATCTGGCCAGGGGCCCTGCCAAGGCTCTGTGGCTTCTGCTGACCTCTTGAACTTGGGCCGCGGAGTCCCAGGCTCTGCCACGACCACACCAGCCCCCACCACGTTGCTGGGCATCCCAGAGTGTCAGCCAAGGCCACTGGCAGAGAGGGGGGCAAGGGGCGGCCAGAGGCTCTGTGGTGGGCTGGACAGGGCAGCGTGTGCCCCCCAGTGTTCCTCCAGGAACCTGAGATCAGGGACCACCCCTGGAGCGCCCCTCCACACCTCCCCGCACTGAGGCTGGGGGGTACCCCCGTGAGCGATGGAGGTTCAGAAGCTGGCTTCCTGTCTGTTGCTCTCGGGCTGTGTGGGCTTAAGCAAATGGCTCAGCCTCTCTGAGCCCTACTCTGGGTAGCCAGGTTTCTAGGGGCCGTGAGGGCTGAGAGAGGGCCTGGGGAGGGGGGAGAAAGGGATGAGAGAGACGGACACGGAGCTCCATGCTGGCTCGAGACGCCCAGGGACACACGCTGTCCCCGCTAGCGCGATGACAGAGGCCAGCAGGGCTCCACTTGGCGGGGATGCCGAGCCGCCCCAGGCAGGCTTGGGGGCCGCGCAGGTGGAGGTGCCCCTGGGACTGGAGGTGAGGAGGAGACGGGGATTCCAGGACTGGGGGCCACAGGGAGAGATCAGCTGTCGTGTGAACGTTACAAAGTGTGTGGAAGGCACTGCGTGCTGGCCCTGGGGTGGTACGGAGGCCGGGGGAGGTGGGGAGCAGAGGCAGCAGGTTACACGGGGTGGCAGTGTCCCCCCCCAACCCCCCCCACTCCTCCATGGTGCTTCTCTTCTGAGGCCACTAAACCATTCCATCCCACGCCCACTCTCTGGGGACTGCAAGGCAGCGGTTGGGGGTGAACTCAAGGCACTGGGGAGGCAAAGGGCAGCCAGGGAGCATGGCCCCCCTTGAAGGTGCCCCGGGAGCCACCCCTGCCCACCTTAGCTAGAAGGGAGCACCCCCCAGCCTGGGTGGGGCCAGAGAGGTTCTAGGGTCATCCCCAGAGCGCAGAGGGCTGGTATCCGGAAGGGCAGTGCCCCCCTGCATGCCCCCAGCTGGCCTGTCCTGCCTGGGGCTTGGGGGGGGCAGGGCAGGGTGCAGCTGCTAATGGGGGGGTCAGGGCATGACCAGCCTTCGAGGGTGCATTCTCCAGCAGCCAAAGCCAGCTGGGTCCCAGCACGTGACCAAGCCCCTCCCCCAGACCCTGTCCCCAGTGCTGCCACCTCTTACCAAGTCCAGTCAGACTCTGGGCCCCTGGACCAGAGCCCCCGTGCCCGGCCGGCCACAGTGCCCCAGCCGACACTCAGACCAGCCAGCACCCCACCAAAGACCCTGGGGCCTTCCCAGGAAATTCAGGGGTGTCTACACTGGCAGCCCTGCCCCTGACCCGCAGGATGGGTGCCTTTTCTGGGCCTCAGTTTCCCCATCTGAACTGTGAAGTGGGGCTCTTTGTGCTCACCACAGGGAGCTGCCAGTGGGCCTTGAGAGCTTGTTGACCGGTACCCACCCCCCCACTCCCAGTGCCCCCAGTTCTAGGCCAAAGCCTGGCCCAGGGAAGGGCCTGGGGGCGTGTCTACGTGCCCTGGGGAGGAGGGGTGAGCACAGCTGCTACGCGCTCCCCATCTTCCATTGGCAGCCCCAGGGCCCCCTGGGCACGTGGAGAAGGGGGAGAGCACCCCAGGGCCCTGAGGATCCCGGGGTGGTGGGCTCTGTGGAGGGCAGGACAGCATGGGCTTAGCCCCCAGTATTGCGGTCGCACTGCAACCCCTTGGGCCCCATGAACCACCCCCCCATCAAGGGGGTTCAGGTAAGTTTGCTGACACCCTGGAAACCCAATGCGCCTTCATCCCCCAGGAGCCTGGAAAAGCCCCTCCGAACCTGCCTGCGGGGCAACACCTGGGGGGGCACCTGGAAGCACTGGGGGGGGCCCCACCCCCCTCAGGTGACCCCTTGCCCTCGGGGGGAGCCCCATACCCCCTTTCAGGCGGCCCCTTGCCCTCTGGGGGAGCCCCACACCCCCTCAGGCAGCCTCTTGCCCTGGGGGGCCCCACACCGCCCTCAGGTGACCCCTTGCCCTCTCTTCAGACAGATCCAACAGTGGGGAAGGGGAGAGGTGTCCCACCCCGTTAGGCACACTCTTCTGACACAAAGCGTCCCTGGGAGCCTCCCCCAGCGGCCGTTCCCAGAGCTGAGTCTCTCTGCCCCCCAGCACCCCACACTCCCGGGACCTGGTGCCTGACCCTCCCTTGGGCCGCTCCTGGAGGAGGTGGGGGCCCGGCGGCCTCGCTTCCCGCCAGCCAGTCAGGAAACACTCACCAGGCCCCAGGGGCTCCCAGGCGAGGACAGGAGACACGTACAGGGCTTTGGAGCCCCAGGCTTGGGGTGTGGCTGCAGGGTCTCCCCGGGCCATGAGCTCAGGGCTCTGATGGGGGCCGAGGTGGTGGCTGCTTTACTTTCCTGAGGCCTGGCTCGCTGGGCTCGCTACGTGATTGACGGCTGATTGTGCTTTCATTGCAGAGCCTGGACCTGTCGCTGGGGGTCCCTGGGCAGAGGAGGCCCAGTGCCCTGTACCCCTGGCGCCGGGCACCTGCGTCAGGCCGTGTGCGAAGGGCCTGGGTCATCCCCCCCATCAGCGTATCCGAGAACCACAAGCGTCTCCCGTACCCCCTGGTGCAGGTGAGGGGGCCCCGGGGGCAGAGCAGGGGCTGGGCTGTCCCCAGAGGGTCCCCGAGGGCCTGTGGTTTAGGACAGCAAACCGTTGGGGTCACAGGCCAAGCTGCTGGGGGAGGGGTCAAGGCCGGGGAAGAGGGAGGGACTGGGTTGGGGCGCCTCCCCCAGCCTGGCTCCTCCCCGGCAGATCAGGTCGGACAAGCAGCCGCTGGGCAGCGTCCTGTACAGCATCCAGGGCCCCGGCGTGGACGAGGAGCCCCAGGGCGTGTTCTCCATTGACAAGTTCACGGGGAAGGTGTTCCTGAACGCCATGCTGGATCGGGAGAAGACGGACCGCTTCAGGGTGGGGCCCGCTGTGGGGGGGCTGGCGGGGGGCTCCTGGGGCCCCGGGGTTGGGTCGTTAGGCCCCATGCCTGTCATTGGTAGGTGCGGACAGGGATTTGGGACTAGGGCCTGCAGCCCAAAGAAGATATTCAGGGTTATATTCCCATTTAACAGATGGGCATGAGCAAACTGAGGTCCCTGGAGGTGGGGCTTGGTCCTGCCCAGCCAACAGGCCTGGGGAGCCCCCAGCAGAGCCGCTCTGCTCAGCCTCCCAGGAAAGCAGCACTGGACACGGGCGCACTCTTCACACCTCACCCTGCTTTTGCCCCCGCCTGACCATGTTTGGTGGGGGAGGGGCGTTGTGCGGAAGCCCACAGTGTGGCCCCTCCTAGTAGCAGCTGTCGCTGGATTCTCTGGGGAGGGTGCATGGGGCCCACCCCTTGGAGGCCATGGGGTTGTGAGGTTGGAGAGAGAGGCTGGGGGGAGGGCGCTGGAGAAGGGAGGGAGCCTGACGCCCCCCAGCCTGGCCTCTCCGAAGTGTTGCCCTGGGGGAGGGGGCTTCTGACTTTGCTTTTTCTGTGCCCTGAACCTGCTCCCTCCAGACTTGGAGAACAACCTCTGGGGCCCCTTACGCAGAGGGTTGTCAGAAACAGTGATCCTACCTGGACATGATAGCACACTCGCTCCCCGAAAGGGGTTGGCTTGGGTTTTCATTTCACGGGTCTACTGCGCTCCTAGAGGAGCCTGTACTGATTAGCAGAAGGGAGGGAGTGGGAACGCTAGTGAGACTGTGCCTTCAGTCTCACACAAAACATAGCTGTGAGCTTCCCGGCAGCCAAGGTGAGCAGGGCAGCACGGCGGCTGTGGGCAAGCAGGCTGCTCTTCGGGGAGGTCTCATCTGCTGCACACTCGGCCCAGCCCACGCCGTTTCTCGCCTGTCTACACTGGTGTTTCCAGCGGGACACTGAGTCTGCGCTTCTGTCCCTTTGCATGGCCTGGTGGGAGCCACCGAAATCGTGGGAGCACGGCACCAGCCCTTGCTCTCTGCTTGCCTAGCTAAGGGCCTTTGCTCTGGACCTGGGAGGAGCCACCCTGGAGGAGCCCACGGACCTGGAGATCGTGGTTGTGGATCAGAACGACAACCGGCCCGTCTTCAGGCAGCAGGTGTTCAGTGGCCGGGTGCCGGAGGGGGCAGTGCCAGGTGAGGGGCTGGGGGCTGCGCGGGGAGGGGGGGGTCTGAGTCCGTCCGAGCCCACAAATAAGCAGAGACTCTCCAGCGAAGGGACTGCTCTCAGCTCCACTCCCTTCCCCATTTCAATATAAATTTCAAACCCAACTCTTCCCAAATGCGGTGAGGATTTACGGATGGCCGGGCTCTGACGGCGGGGCGGCTGCACGGAGGTGAAATCAACACGAAGTGGGACTGACCAGTTAAAAGTGCACAATCCGTGGATTTAGCGCACTCACGACGCCGTCAGGCTGGTTCCAGACCACGTCTGTCCCCGGGAAGGAACCTACGGCCGCACACACAACACAAGGGTCTGTCCTCGGGCCGCCTCGCCTGCCTCGCCCGCTCCCGTGGGACGGACCTCGGTCCTTCCCGCTCTGGCCCCAGGGGAGGGGCGCCTGCACGCTTGTTTATTTCGTCTCCCTTTTCACATTTCAAGACTTAAAATGACAATCTTTTCTTTTTCTTTAACTTCTTTTTGACACACTTTCAGACTTGCAAAAAAGCTAAAGAGAATTGCAACAGCTGCGATGTTTATCATGTTTGCTTTGAACTTGTTGCTTGTTTTCCCTTCCCTGGGGGCGGTGGCTGTGGACACGGCAGCTGTGGACACGGCGCGCTCAGCGGGCTCCAATAACTTGGATGCAGTGAAACTGTCAGAATTAGGAAGCTCCTACGGACACGTACGAACAGTCCAGCCCAGTGACGAGAGCAGAGAACCCCCCTCGGGTCCCCGCCCTGCTTCTGGGCCCCCTGTTCCCGCCTAGTGACCCCCTTCTCCAGGAGAGGCCCCCACACCCTGACCCTGGTTCTTCCTGATGGATAAAGGCCTCAACGCCTGATCGGCCGCAGATCTGGTTCTCTGGGCCATGTGGTTGTCGAGGGTGGATTTTATTTGCCGCTTGCTCTTCTGTGAGTGAAGAACAGGAGAGAGGAAGGGAAATCGCAAACGTCTGGGAACGCAGGAGCTCTGCTCTGGGGGAGGCCGTTAGGCAGGCGGACGTGGTCTGGGCTGCGGCTGCCCGTGGCCTCTGCGCGCCCGCCACGGCCCATGTTCCTGCCCCTCCCGGAGTGACGGCCGTTGAGTGGCACCTGGGCGAGGCTCCGCGGGTCGCTGTGCGGCCGAGCCTCCGAGGTGCAGCTGCGGGCCCCCCGCCCCCACCAGAAGCAAACAGCTTCTCCCTCGGCTCAGGGCAGGGCCCTCCCCTCCCCTCCCCTCCCCTCCCCTCCCCTCCCCCGCAGGCTCTCTAGTTCTCCGAGCCCCAAGCGCAGGCAGACCGTGACCGAGCCTCGGGGGCCTTCCCTGCCGTCCTCCTCCTGAGCCCCCGGGGGCCAGTGGACGAGAACTGACCACGGGCGTCGCCGTGGCCGGTGATCCAGCCCCACCTGCTGCCTGCCTGCCCTGCTCCACCAAAGCTGAAGCCCCTGCACTTCCGCCCTCACAGATGGCGCCCTGCCCCTCGTCAGCCTGAGCAACTCAAATTAAGTACTATGTTGCGGATTATCTGCTTGTTTGCATCCTTAGGTTGGGACTATGTTCCCTCTCCACCTCCAAAGCCTTTTCGTTCTCTCCACCTGGAGTAGTTCCTGAGCCGTTAGGTTTTCGGGACCCTGACTTTTGTTTTTTCCAAAAAAATTTTATCGTGCTAAAATACACATAGACGTTCCCATCCTAACAATTTTCTTTGTTTTTAAACATTTTTTAATGTTTTATTTATTTCTGAGAGAGAGAGAGACAGCGTGAGCAGGGGAGGGTCAGAGAGAGAGGGAGTCACAGACTCTGAAACAGATTCCAGGCTCTGAGCTGGCAGCACAGAGCCCGACATGGGGCTTGAACCCACGAACCGTGAGCTCATAACCTGGGCTGAAGTTGGACGCTTAACTGACTGAGCCACCCAGGCGCCCCACCATCCTAACAATTTTCAAGGGGACGGTTCAGTGGTATTAAATACGTTCATAATGTGGGCGCCTGGGTGGCTCAGTCTGTTAAGCATCTGACATTGGCTCAGGTCATGATCTCGCAGTTTGTGAGTTCGAGCCCCGCGTCAGGCTGTGCTGACAGCTCAGAGCCTGGAGCCTGCTTCCGAGTCTGTGTCTCCCTCTCTCTCACCCTCCCCCTCTCGCACTCTTTCTGTCTCTCCCTCAAAAATAAATAAACATTAAAAAAATACATTCATAATGTGCAGCTGTCCCCGCCACCTGTCCCCAGGCCCTGGCTCCCACCTACTTTCCACCACTGCAAATCTGTCTACTCTAGGGACTGCATAGAAGTGGAATCTTCTAGTATTTGTCCTTCTGTGACGGCTTATTTCACTGAGCAGGAGTGTCTTCCAGGCTCATCTGTGTTGTAGACCGTGTCAGCAGGTCTTTCCCTTTAAAGCTGAATAAATACTCCATTCCGTGGCTGGACCACGCTTTGCTAGTCTCTTCTCCCGTAGATACGGGGGTGGCTTCCACGTCCTGGCTACAGTGACTGTCATGAACAGGAGTGTGCACATAGGTCTTCACGCTCCCACTTTCCGTTCTTTGGGGGACACGCCCGGAAGTGGGGTTGGTGGATCATATGCAGATTCTGTGTTTAATTGAGTGGCCACCGTGCTGTTTTCCACGGCAGCTGCCCCGTCTCACACCCCGCCAGCCACGCACGGGGCCCCTGGTTCTCCTGGCCGCGCCGACACTTGTTCTCTGGTTTTTCGTGGTAGCCGTGCACGTGGGTGTGAAAGTGGTGTCTCGTGGTTGGGTTTGCATCTCCGCAACCACAGCTGAGGCCGGACACCTTTCCATGTGCTTTGTGGCCATTTGTTTATTTCATTTGGAGAAAAGTGTTTTCGCGTCTTCCGCCCGGTTTCGGGTCGAGCTGTGTTGCTGCTGAGCTCCAGGGCCCCCCTCCACCTCCGATCGGCCCCAGCAGACCCCGACCTGCGCTCGCGCCCCCGGGCCTGGGGTCTGACGCCGCTGTAGTGTCTGGCGCACAGCGTCTCCGCGCGTTCACGGGGTCCCGTTCGTCCCGCCCCCTCGTCGCCGTGCCGTCGGCGTCACATCCAGGAATCGGACCCAAACCCGGTGTCGTCAGACCTCTGCCTCTGTTGTCGTCTAAGGTTTGTCGTTTTAGGCCTTACGTGTAGGTCTTTGATCTCCCTCGAGTGAGGCTTTGCACTACGGCGTGAGGTGAGGGTCCAGCCTCACGCTCTGGGCCGGGGACGCCCGGTTTCCCAGCGCCGTTTGCCGAGAAGACCGTGTCCCCCCCTCGGGCGGCCTGGGCACCCCTGCAGCAGGCCGTGTGACCGCCGTGTGACGGTCTGTCCCCGGACCTCCTCCACCGGCCGCGCGTGTCTGCACGGCCGCACCGCACGGTTCTGACCCCGCAGCTTGGCAGTAGCTTGGAAATCAGGCGGTGTGAGCCCTCCCGCTTTGTTCTCAGTGATTCGGGCTTCCTTGAGATTCTGCATGAATTTTAGAACGGTTTTTCTATGTCTGCCAACAAAAAAGCTGTCCTTAGGGTGTTGATAGAGTACTGAATCTGCAGAGTACTGAATCGCTGTGGGCAGTGCTGACGTGTAACAGCGTTAGCGTGCGATCCATGAACATGGGATGTGTTTCCATTTACTTGTGTTTAGTTCCTTTCCACAGTGTCGTTTTCACTGCACGAGTGTCACGCCTCCTTAGTCACGCCTAACACTGACCTTCTGAAGCACTTACGGGCATCTTGAAGAACACGGGTTTGTGTGGCTGGATGGGATTTGCACGTTGGTAGCGCCAATGCTCGTTGGCGCACCGTCTCAGGAGGCACACGCATCCCATTCCTGCAGATGTTGACTTCGATTTGCCTTGTTAGGGGGTGTCTTCCGGCCTTCTCCACTGATTTTTTTTTTAAGTTTATTATTTTGAGAGAGAGCAAGGGAGGAGCAGAGAGAGGGGGAGAGAGAATCCCAAGCAGGTTCTGCACTCTCGGCGCAGAGCCAGACACGGGGCTCAAACTCATGATCCGTGAGATCATGACATGAGCTGAAACCACGTCAGATGCTTAATCACCTGAGCCCCCCAGGCGCCTCCGCTGTGAGTTTTACATGTTTCCCCTTGTAGTTAATAGGCATCTTGCGGAAGATCCTGAACTAGTTTCCTGTTATTCCTTAAACGTCCACCAGGATGAGCATCTGCTCACGGTCCTTGTCTGGGTCTGTTCGTGTTCTAGGCGCCGAGAGCTGGTTTCCAAGTCTCTTCCCCACTTGTCAGCGGGCTTTCTGCCTGTGGGAGGCCTTTCACTTCCCCCTGTGTGTGTACGTGTGTGCGTATGTTATTTTTGTTTATGTTACTCTGGACTTTTGAGGTCTGACTCGTTCAGTGAGTTATAATTCCTTACAGGCATTGCTTTGATGCCCAAATTGTCCGTGTTTGGCCAACAGGAGGCTCGTCAGATTGGCCACCGTCAGGCCCTGGCGGCAGACAGAGCCGGGAGCTCTGCTTCCGTGTGCACACGTGTGTGTGCTGCTCACACCTGTGTTTCCGTGTGGGGAGTTCCTGCAGCTCGGAGCTGGGCCCAGGCTTCCAGCTGCTCCTCCCGTCGGACCCCAGGCTCTCGGGCCCTGGCGGGCTGTCTCTGTGTCTGGGGGACACAGGCGTCAGCTCTTGATCGAACGTGTGTACCGGACGTCCCTGCCTCCCCTCCAACCAGGCCGAATGTTTGAGTTCGTTCCAGCCGAATGGGGCCTGGACCTGGCACGGGGAGACGCGTCCCGGGGTCGGGCCGGCACCCACGTGCGTCGTCCTTGCCCGTCCCCGTCCTTACCAGGCACCTACGTGACCAGGGCCGAAGCCACAGATGCTGACGACCCGGAGACGGACAACGCAGCCCTGCGGTACTCCATCCTGGAGCAGGGGGGGCCCCAGCGCTTCAGCATCGACGAGCACACGGGGGACATACGCACCGTGCAAGTGGGTCTGGACCGAGAGGTGAGGCACCACCGTGCAGGCTGGGGGCCGGGCGGCCCGGGCCGCTTCCCCGCCCGCCTTCTTGGTCTCTGAGGCTGACGGGGCAGCTCACCTCAAGCCGGGCCCTCCGCCCCAGCCGTGCCCAACCCAGTTGTCCCCCGGACCCAGTAGAGGGGGCTCCCGCTTGCTGCGGACGCACACCGTGGCTCTGGACACCCGTGTCTCAAAGCAGGTCGTGCGGTCAGGGCCGGGGAGACGGGGGAGCAGCCTCCGCGTGTTTTCTGCCCACAGTGTGCCCCGCCTGTTGCCTGCAAAGCCGTCAGGCGTCCTGGCATGGGGTGGGGCCATCCACGCGGCCCCACGGCGGCCGGTCACGCTCTGGAGTAACCGTCAGTCTGTGTCCTTGCACACTTTTCCTCCATCGGGATTCCTGCTGTCCCTCATGACTAGGCTTCTTTGCAGCTTCAGCACCTCCAGGAAGCCCTCCGTGGTTTCCCCGTGGCTACTTACACAGCTCTGTCTGGTCACAGCTGCGTTAGGTGGTCTTCATCAGCCTCTCTCCCTGCCACTGGATGTGGCCCCTCAACGCAGGGACCCAGCTTGTCGGCTCAGCATCCAGCATGCTGTGGGTGCTCCGTAAATGCTCACCCACCTGGGTAACTGACCGCCTGCACACTCGTCGCTGGGCCAGAGTCGGGGCTGGCAGTGCCGTGGTCAGACCCCAGGAACCGGGCAGCACACTTCACCCCAGGGCCGGGCAGGGGCCCCTGACGCGCACGGCACACGGCTCTCCTGGGGGCCCAGCCCGGGGGTGTCTGCCCCCCACTACAGTGCCCGCTGGGGCCCCTGACTGCACGTTGCTCTGCCCCCAGGTGGTCGCCGTGTACAATCTGACCCTGCAGGTGGCGGACATGTCTGGAGACGGGCTCACCGCCACGGCCGCGGCCATCATCACCGTCGAGGACGTCAACGACAACGCCCCTGGGTTCACCAGGGACGAGGTACTGGCCCCGCCCACACCCACACCGGGACGTCCTTCCCTCCCCAGCTCCTGACGGAGACGAGGGACTTGTCTGAGGACAAGCACAGGTTGGAGTAGTGGCCTGTGCGCCCCCAGACACGGGGACGCTGGCAGAGACCCTGGGGGCCACCCCGGAGACCCGTCGGTGGCCCTCGGGCAGCAGGAGGGAGTCTTGCCTCCGCGCTGCTGTGCGGGACGTTGGATGTGGGACCGAGCGGCCAGCCCCCGCCTCCAGGACCAGGCGGCTCACAGGGCGCCTGGCACGCAGCTGCGTGCGCGGACAGATGCTCATGGGGCGCCCCCGCGGGGTTCTGATTCCCAAGGCCACAAGCCCGGGAGGCTCCCTGGGAGGGCAGGGGTGGGGAGCAGGGGGCGCCCCCGCAGCGCAGCAGTGAGGAGGGCCCGGCTCCTTCAGTTCGTCATGGAAGCCGCGGAAGCCGTCAGCGGAGTGGACGTGGGCCGGCTCCCGGTGGAGGACAGGGACCTGCCAGGCTCCCCCAACTGGGCCGCCGTGTTCACCATCCTGGAGGGAGACCCCCGGGGACAGTTCGCAGTCCGCACAGACCCCAAAACCAATGAGGGCGTGCTGTCCGTGGTGAAGGTGAGGGGGGCGCGGCTTCCCCAGTGGGGGGCTGGCCACTGGACCCAAGCTCAGGGGGACCCCGTTTGGGGCAGAGCAGGGTGCTGGGGGACCCGGGCACGCTGGGGCTCTGGGCGTGGACCACGCCAGCCCCAGGGCACCAGGGCCAGAGGAGGCCCCCCACGGCCCGGGTTTCGTCGGTGGAGTCCTGCCTCTTCAGGTGTGCAGGGCGCACGGGTGCAGACCTGCTTAGACGCTGACACGCGAACGGGGTTCGCAGGGCCGGAAGCGGGGTTCGCAGGGCTGGCCAGCGGGCTGGAAGCTCGGGACCTGAATCCTTCCTCCTCAGGAAAGTCTCAGTTTTGTTCCTGAGGACTTTGAGCTCGGACGAGGGCCACTCAGGTCACCCGGGACAACCTTGATTTAGAGTCAGCACGTTGTGGGGGGCAATTTGGCCCCAGTCCTGGCCCCCTCGGCACGCCCGGCGAGCGTGGCTTGGGTCACCGGGGAGGACCACCCGACCGAGTGACGCACAACATCTAACAAACTCATTCTGAGTGACGAGTGGCTGTCATTTTTGCATTATCCTTCGCAGCTTTTGGTCCTGAATAGTTCTGATTTTTGCAGGGCTAAAGAGGGGAAGGGAAGGTGGGGGCTGTGAGGAGAGACCGAAGGGGCGGCGGCCCCGCTGTGGGGGCCTCGCCCTGCCCCGTAGCTGCCTCCGGGCGCCTCGGATGTGGGGGGGCCCGGGGTGCTGAGCGACCACCGGCTCTGCGCCCCGCCCCCAGCCCCTGGACTACGAGAGCTGTGAGCAGTACGAGCTGCGAGTGGCGGTGCAGAACGAGGCGCCCCTGCAGGCGGCCGCGCCCAGGCCCGAGCGGGGCCAGGCCAGGGTCAGCGTGCAGGTGCGGGACGTCAACGAGGCGCCCGTGTTCCAAGAGAACCCGCTGCGGACCAGCCTGCCGGAGGGGGTGCCCCCAGGAACCCCGGTGGCCACCTTCTCTGCCCATGACCCTGACACACAGCAGCTGCAGAGGCTCAGGTGGGGGCCGCAGGGGCGCGGCAGAGGGAGCCGATGGCCTCCTTCATCCACTTCCCGGCCAGGGTTCCCGAGAGGGGGTGGAGGGCACAACTGCCTGAGCGTCCCCGAGGGTCCCTGCGGCCTCAAGTCCTGTGCGTGTGTGCATGTCTCTGTGAGCTTGTCCCATGAGGCCGGGCTGGGCGCTGGCTGGCACGCACGGACACCAGCCTGTTCCGGCCATGCCCTGTCCCCTGCGGTCAGCTGGTGCGTGGGGCCAGCCGATTGGGTCTTGGATCTCACCCCCAGGCCTGGCCCTGGGGATCTGTGTCTGCCTCCATGGGGCCCACGCATTGAAGCCTGGCTGTGGCACTCAGTGGCCGTGGGGCCCTGGAAGGCCTCACCTGCCTTCCCTGAGCCTCAGTTTCCTCATCTGTCAATGGGGACAGAAACCACCAGCTCAGGGCAGTCAGGGGACTGGGGTGCGCATGAGTGCATACGGTGTGTATACACGTGTGCAACAAGTACATGCAGTACGTGTGCCGATGGGGGGACGCACGTGTGTGGTGTGTGTATACATGTGTGTTTATGTATGACCACACCTCTTGGGGTCCTGCATAAGGTCAGGGTCGCTCTGTCCCCTCCTTGGCCAACAGCTATTCTAAGGACTATGACCCAGATGATTGGCTGCAAGTGGACAGAGCCACAGGTCAGATCCAGACCCAGCGAGTGCTCAGCCCCGCCTCACCCTTCCTCAAGGATGGCTGGTACCGGGCCATTGTCCTGGCCTACGACGATGGTGAGCGCCAAGCTGTGCCTGGGCTCCCGGGCCCCCTGCCCAGGCTGGCCACCTTTGCCTCGGCCCAGGGGCTGAGGGCTGTGTAGGCCACGGGGCCGGCTCCTCGGAGTGGGCGGGGGGGTGGGGGCCGTCTGCCCCAGCAGGGCACGGAGCCCACCAGGCCTCTCCTGCCTACAGCCTCCCCACCCAGTACGGCCACCGGGACCCTGTCCATTGAGATCCTGGAGGTCAATGACCATGCCCCTGAGCTGTCCCCACCATCTGGCAGTGTGTGCAGCAAGCCGGATCAGGGCTCTGGCCTTCTCCTGGGGGCCACAGATGCGGACCTGCCCCCCCACGGGGCTCCCTTCCACTTTCAGCTGAGTCCCGGTGACCCAGAGCTGACCCGGAACTGGAGCATCACCCAGGTTAACGGTGGGTTCTCCCGCACACAGTCCCGAGGGTGCAGACCTGCGCCCCAAGTGTGCTCAGCACCGTGTCCTGGCTCCGCAGCACCCTCACATGGGGCAGGGACCATCACCCCCGGTGGGAGGATGGGGACACTGAGGCCCCAGATCGCGGGCTCTCCACCCACCAGGCCGCTTCTCCCAGCAGCAAGGGGCGGGGCGGCGCGGGCCCTGGAGGGGCAGGGTCTGGGGCCTTTGGCGGGGAGGCCCCTACTGACCTTGGGCGCCCTCTGCAGCCAGCCACGCGCGCCTGCGGCTTCGGCACCAGGTCCAGGAGGGTCTGCACCGCCTCAGCCTGCTGCTCCGAGACTCCGGGCAGCCGCCCCAGCGGCGCGAGCAGCCCCTGAACGTGACTGTGTGCCGCTGCGGCCCGGACGGCACCTGCCTGCCGGGAGCCGCTGCCTGGCGGGCGGGGGGCGTGGGCGTCAGCCTGGGCGCCCTGGTCGTCGTGCTGGCCAGCGTCGTCCTGCTGCTCTGTGAGCCCGCGTCCTGACCGCCTGCTGCCCTCAGACCCCGCCCCCTCGCGGGCCACGCCCCTGCACCCCCCCTCGCGGGCCCCGCCGCACCCCTGCCCACGCCCCACGCGTCCACACCCACCGGGCACCCACCACCTCCTCTCTGTCCCCCCTGCTCAGTGCTCGCCCTGCCGGTCGCCCTCATCACGCGGTCCCGGCGGCAGTCGGGGGACAAGGGGTTTCTGCACGGGCTGCAGGACGACCTCCGGGACAACATCCTGAACTATGATGAGCAAGGGGGTGGCGAGGAGGACCAGGTGAGGGGAGGGCGTGGGGGGAGGTGGTGGCTTAGAAATGCCAAGCGGTGGGAAAGGTCCCTAAGGAGCCTAGGCCGTGGCCCCCCCAGGACCCCTCACTGCACCTTCAGGAGGAGGGAGTGGCGCCCTCTGCTGGCTAGCAGGCCGTCACAGTCCTCTCCCCCCCACCCCGCACCCCTTCACTCCACCAGGGTGCCCGGGACCAAAACCCCACCCTCTAACTGATCCGGTTTTATTCTGCCTACTCTGTCCCCAGGATGCCTACGACATCAACCAGCTGCGCCACCCGACAGAGCTGGCGGTCTTGCGCGCACCCCTGGGTCGTCCGCCCCTGCGCCGAGATGCCCCATTCGGCCGAATGCGCCCCCAGCCACCCCGCATGCTGCCCACCAGCCCCGAGGACATCGCCGACTTCATCAATGACGTAGGTGTCCCCGGAGGTGTGCAGACAGGGGCAAGGGCACGGGAACCCACGCACATGGGCTCCCGCACACGCACCATCGGTGGAGAGTGGGTCCGTCCCTGGACCCCAGCTGGCCTTTGGGGGACTCCTGACGATCTGAGAGAGGCTGGGGAGGTGCAGGGGCCACAGGCGCAAGTTCCTTGGCGGAGGAAGATGCGCCCCCCCCACCGCTGGGTCTGCCCCGCCCGCCGCCCCAGCTGAGAAGAGTGAACCTGCCCCAAGCGGGTGCGGCTGTGAGCCGAGTCCTGGCACCGGGGCACGTGGACACAGCCCCAGGGGGCGGGCGATGCTGGGAAGGCAGGAACCGCGGCTGGATTGGGGGGGGGTGCCTCCTGCTGGCCTACCGGGTGCCACACCTGCCCACAAGGAACGGCCTTGGCTCAGGGAAAGCCCCCAGCAGATGCCTGGGCAGGGCCGGGTCCCGGTTAGGAGGCTGTGACCCTCCGGGTGAGACGACAGAGGTGGAGGGGACAAAACTCTGCAAAACCTTTAAAAGGCAGAAACGGGGGCGGGGGGAGGGCCTCGCAGATGGGATGTGAGGGAGCCTCAGGGGTCCCAGCCCGGTGTTAGGACAGCCGCGCAGACGTTAGTTTCTCTTCAGACCCGCACCCTAGGGCGGGGCTCCCAGGTGCCTGCGCTCAGGGCTCTGCCCCACCCTGCTCTTCCCGTGGGGTGGGGGTGGGGGTGGGGGTCCTCGCTGCAGCCTGGGCTGGGGCGCCGGCGGGGACCCTGAGCTGCCGGTGCCTCCCCGCAGGGCCTGGAGGTGGCAGACAGCGACCCCAGCGTCCCGCCCTACGACACCGCCCTCATCTACGACTACGAGGGGGACGGTTCCGTGGCGGGGACGCTGAGCTCCATCCTGTCCAGCCTGGGGGACGAGGACCAGGACTACAGCTGCCTGCGGGACTGGGGGCCCCGCTTCGCGCGGCTGGCCGACCTGTACGGGGCCCCCTGAGGGCCCCGTGACCCCCGCTGGGCGGACACCCGCCGGACACGGAGGGCACAGGCAGCCCGGCCGGGGCGCGGCGGGCCTCTGCGGAGGCAGCCGGGGGCACAGGGCCGCGTCACCGAGGCCCCGGGGGCCAGCCTGCTTCTCCCCGGGAGGACAGAGCGGGGGCCCCGAGCCGGCCAGGCCCGCGTCAGTCGTGCTTCCCTGGGGCCGGACACCCCCGCCCCCAGCGGCCTCCCACTCACGCGGACCTCAGCTTCGTGCGGAGGGAGCCGCCACCCCGCCACCCCCCGCTCCTGAATTAAAAACCTGCCCTTCTCTCCAGTGCGGGTCGCGCAGTCGGGGCTGTGGTAGCGGGCTGCCCCCCCCGGGGAGGGGGGAATGTGGGGAGGGGGCAGTGAGCCTCCCGGGAGCCCCCTCCACGGCGGGGTGCGCGGCCGAGGGAAGCAGCAGCGAGGACACCAAGTTCCACGGACGCCTTTATTCTCCACGCGCGGCGGGGGGGCGGCGGCCCGGGGCCCCGCCCAGGCGGTCGGCGTCCCGCAGCGACGCGGGCAGGTGGCGGCCGCGGCTCTCGGGCAGCAGCAGGACGCAGAGCAGGGCGAGCACCGCGAAGGACGCGAAGACCACGTGGTGCAGGAAGAAGCCGCGCCGGCCGTGCACTTCGGCCAGGGGGGCGGCCGCCTGGCCCAGGAAGCCCGCCCCCAGCACGAGGCCCAGGCCCGCGCCCCTGCGGGAGAGCGCGCGGTCGGGGGCGTGGCAAACCTGGGGAGGGGCGGGGCAAACGCGGGGGCGGGACAGCGGGGGCGTGGCAGTGAGCAGCGGGGCAAACGCGGGGCGGGGCAAACGCGGGGCGGGGCAAACGCGGGGCGGGGCAAACGCGGGGCGGGGCAAACGCGGGGCGGGGCAAACGCGGGGCGGGGCAAACGCGGGGCGGGGCAAACGCGGGGCGGGGCAAACGCGGGGCGGGGCAAACGCGGGGCGGGGCAGCGGAGACTCCAAAGTCTGCGGAAAAGCTGCTCCCCGGCCTGGCACTCTTCATTCATCAGGAAATGCGAAACGGGCTTCCCGCCACTGGCATTTTGTCCTCGCTGCCCCCCAAGCCTGCGGCCCCCGTCCCCCACTCCCCTGTGTGACCAGTGTCCCCTGGACCCCCACCGCGGCCGCCCCCGCTCACCTGATCACGGTGGGAAGCACCTCGGCCGCGAAGAGGCTGCTCAGGGCGGACACGGCGTGGGAGGCCAGGAGGCCCAGGGCGGACAGGCACAGCGCGGCCCAGCCCGGCAGGTCTGGGGGCGGGAGGAGGGGTTCCCACGGGGCCCGGCCTCCCGGCCCTTCCCCCCATCAGGCGCCGCAGGCCCTGCCGTGAACCAGACCCTTAACATCGAGCCCTTGAACCTCGGGCTCTTTGGGCCTCAGTTTCCCCGCGTACACAGTGGGGAGGCAGACGAGGTAAAAAACAGCCTCATGCCAACATGCCGCATCCGGTGCCGCCTTCCCGGGGCCCCAGGAGGCGCTGGTCCCGGACCCGCGTAGGTCAGACCCTCCGCCAAACCCGAGGGCTGTCGGCCTGCGGAGCCCCACACTCACACTGGGTCCCGGCCAGGAGCAGCAGGGATGCCAGGCCCATGACCAGGGTGCCCAGCAGCAGGGCCGGGCGTCGCCCCCATCGGTCCCCCGTCAGCAGCAGGAGCACAGCGGCCGCTGCCTCCAGGCCGGCGGCCAGGAAGTACGGCCAGTAGAAGGCGGGCTTGCTCGGGGCCAGGTTGCGGAGGAAGCCGGCTCTGATGCCCCCGCAGATCAGTCTGGGGGAGAGGGAGGACGGAGCTGAGGCCCCGCCAGGGCAAGGGACTCCCGTGACCAGAGACCTGCCCGGGGGGGGGGGGGCAGGTCATCCATCAGCCCACCCGCGCCCTCCCCTCCTCACGAACTGAAGCCCAGGATGACCGCATTTCTCCAGGCGACGCGGGTGTGCCGGAGCTCCAGGACGGAGTGGTACTGGGGCTGTGGGCTCCGCGCACCCAGCATGTCCAGCTCTGTGGCTCCGGGGACACGAGGGGGCACGTATGAGGGGACGGCCCTTCCCCGGCACCCAGGGCTCCCATCTCCTGGCTGGTGCATCACCTGTTACCTGGGAGGTCTCCTCCTCGGAGCTGTCCTCCGGGTCCACACCCCCAGATTCTGCAAAATGCCACAGGATCTTCCGGGCTCGGGCTGGCTGTCCCGTGGCCAGCAGCCAGCAGGGAGACTCGGGGAACAGGGCCGGGAACCTGCAGGGGTGGGGTAAGGATGCCCAAGGATGGCAGAAGCTAATGGCCCCCCTCGGGATCCAGGGGGACAGGGCATGCCATGGCTCTCTGGGTGCCCATCCCACACCCACACGCCTGGTGCTGCACAAAGTGCGGGGAGAAGCGACCCACGTGGCCTCTACCTCTGTCACCGAACCATCTGCCACCACACTTACCCCCAAAAGAGCAGCAGAAGGCCCGTTGCCAGGGCACTGAGCCCCTGCAGAAGGCGCCAGTCCCGTGCCAGCAGCGCCAGGCCAGGCAGCAGCAGGGTGCCCAGCACTGAGAAGAGGCTGGCTCCCACGGAGAACGCCAGGCGGTGAGGGGGGTCACACAGCTCCAGGCCTGAGCAGACACGGGGGGCCTGATCCTCTTTCCAGGGCTGTGCGCACCAGTCACGGACCCACAGCTCCAGCACCCGCACCCACCCACCGGTGGCCGACCGGCCGGAGCAGTAGCCCCTCCCCCCTGGCGAGAAGGGCCCTCAACGGCAGTGCGGGGCGGCCCCCCCGTGCAGCTGACATTGCGTGAGGCCTGGCCCGAGGGGGTGTTCCCTGCCCCCCCCCCCACGGTACTCACGAGCCACGTAGAGGGCGAGGGAGAACCCTGCCAAGGCCCCCCCATGAAGCAGCCTCAAGGTCAGCAGGGCGGGAAAGCTGGCCGCCAGGGCCTCACCCGCCCCCAGGCCCGTGGCCAGCACCAGGGAGACCACGAACACAGCCCGACGTCCGAACCTGGAAGGCAGCCGGGGAAACGTGGGTGCGGGTCAGGCCAGCCGGGCGTCCAGCCGGACCCCGAGGGCCTGGGGGCGGGGCCGCTGGGAGAGAAGGGAGGGGCGGCGCCTCACCAGTCGCAGCCCGCGCCCAGGAGGACACAGCCCAGCAGCCAGCCCAGGAGGTGGCTCATCTGCTCCAGCGGTACCTTCCAGCCGTCCTCACACACCAGGTTCCACTATGGGGAACACCAGTCACCTGTGGGCTGGCCGGCCACCTCCCCGTTGCGGCAGCTCCCAGAAGGCCAGGCTGCCAGGGGCCCCCAGATGGCCTGCTTCAACTCCTCTCTGGAGATAAGGGGAAACTGAGGTACGGAGAGGGCGAAGGACTTGCTCAAGGTCACACAGCACGGTCTCCCGACCCTGGTAGTCTTCCCATGGAATTTGAGCAATTCCTGGTCTGAGCCCCCAGAGGACAATGACAGGCGTCCCCAAGACACCGACCTGGACCCCGAAGTCTGTTTTGTTTTTCTCTGGATGGGGACCCACCCTTTGGTCTCCCGCCAGGTGACCCTTGACAGATCTGACCCTCCCGCTGGCTGCAGTGCCAAGGGCCTCCAGGGCATCACCCTCGCCTCCCTCTGCCCCGCTCACTTCAAGTGTGACTCCGGGAACTGTGACTCAGGGCCGTGCTCACCTGCTCTTCCTGGACAAGGGCCCTTGACCTCCGTTGTGCACTTCCCCCCCTCTCCTCCTCCCCAAACTTAACGTACTGTTTTGGGTCATACTACATGGCAGTTTTTATTTTAAAAACCAAACGTCTGGGGCGCCTGGGGGGCTCAGTCTGTTGGGCGGCCGACTTTGGCTCAGGTCATGATCTCGCGGTCAGTGGGTTCGAGCCCCGCGTCGGGCTCTGTGCTGACAGCTCGGAGCCTGGAGCCTGCGTCGGATTCTGTGATTCCCATTCTCTCTCTCTGCCCCTCCCCCACTCAAGCTCTTCTTCTCGTTCTAAAATAAACATTAAAAAAATATTTGTGAAAGTTGGGAGGGGGGTCGGGGGGCTGATTGATCAGTACCCCGGACAGAAGGGCTGGTGTCCCAGGACAGAATGGACGGAGGATGAGAAGCCCAGCCGGTTTCAGGGCCCCAGGCAAGGGCGTGGCAGCCCTGCCCCTGTTTCCACACTGGAGCCGATCCTCCCAGGACAGAGGTAGGGATGCGGGGCAGAGGCTGCCGAGGGAGGCAGAGCTGGGCGGGTCCCAAGCCCGAGGGAGGAAGGAGAGGAAGAGGGGCCTGGGACCTCCCAGCTGCCTCCTCCCCCCCCCCTCGCACCCCTGAGTCGCCCCCGCCCCCCCCTCCGGCTTGTTGGCACCACGATGGTTAGGTCTGGTTTTTGCAAACGTATCTCCACGTGGCTACCTTGATTCAAAGCCTCCTGTCTTGGGAACCCACTTTCGACACCCACATGGCCCAAAGCCACAGCTTGCTCAAACTTCAGTGCCACCTACTGCGGACCACCTGGCGCGGAACTCCTCCTCCCCCGGGCTGCCCGCCCGCACTGGCAGTCCTTGGGCAGCAGGCTCTGCCATTAGGCCCGGCACCCCCCCCCAACCTGGGCATCTGCTGCATCATCTGACTACCCAGAGCCCAGCATGACAGCCCACGGCAGACGGAGGGCAAAGAGCAAGGCGGGGAAGAAGGTGGGGTCGGAGGAAGGGAGATGGAAAAGGGGGACAGGAGGCGTCAGAGTGACAGCAAACCCAAGGCAGAGGCGGAGAAGTCGGAGGCGGAGACCCACGCGTCCGGGCCCCCTCCGCTGGGCGGGAGCGCACCTGGGTGACCGGGCTGCGCAGCAGGCCGGCGGCGGGCAGCGCGTAGTGCCAGCCGCGCGTGCAGGGCCGCGTGCCGTTGGGGCGGGCGCGGGCCGCGGGCTCGGGGTAGCGCAGGAGCCGGCAGGGGCTCGGGACGCGCGCGGGCCCCAGGCGCGGCACGCTGGCGTCGAGCAGCGCGGGCCCGCGGAGGGCGCGCAGCGCGGGGGGCAGCAGCGCGGGGTCCGGCCGGCAGCGGTGCGCCGGCAGCGCGGTGAGCAGCGGCTCCGAGCCCAGCGCCAGCCCCAGAGCCACGCAGGGCAGCCAGGAGGCGGCGGCCAGCAGGCGCCGGGCGCGGCCGAAGCCGCCCGCCGCGCGCAGCACCCGCGTCTCCGACTCCATCGGGGCCTCTGCGCCGGGCGGGCGGGGCTGCGCGGGAGCCGAGCCGCGGGGGGCGGGCCCCTGGGGCC